ACAGACCAGTTCCCGCTCACTGGCTGAGCGAGGCGTGGGGGCAACACCGAGGGTTGCGATCCCGTTGCCGGTCCCGGTCCGGTACGGGGGCGACACTGAGGGTTGCAATCCGTTGCCGGACACGGAAAAAGACAAAAAAAAAAAACAAAAAACTGAAATCATATCAACTGTTTTGTCTAACCACAAGGGAATAAAACTAGAAATCAATAATAGAAAGATCACTGGAAACTGTACAAAAACATGGAAATTAAACAACATGATCCTAAACAAGTGGGTCAAAGAAATCAAAAAGGAAATTTAAAACTTCCAGGAGATAAATGAAAATGATAACACAACATACCAGAACGTATGGGATATAGCAAAAGCAGTTGTAAGAGGGAAATTTTTAGCAATAAATGCATACATCTAAAAAGAAGAAAGACTTAAACAACCTAATGTTACAACTCAAGGAACTAGAAAAACAAGAACAAAACAAACCCCAAATCAGTAGAAGGAGAGAAATAACAAAGATCAGAGCATAAATAAATAAATTAGAGGTTAAAAAAACAATACAAAAGATTGATGAAATAAAGGGTAGGTTTTTCAAAAAGTTAAACTAGCTAGAGTAACGAAGAAAAAGGAGACTCAAATAAATAAAATCAGAAATGAAAAAGGAAACACTACAACTGATTCCACAGAAATACAAAGGCTCATAAGAGAATATTATGAATAACTACATGCTAGCAAACTTGGAAACCTAAAAGAAATGAATAAATTCCTGGACACATAAGACTTAACAAGGTTGAATCTTGAAGAATTAGAAAACCTAAACAGACCAATAATGAGTAAAGAGACTGAAGCAGCAAAAAATGTCTCCCAACAAAGAAAAACCCAAGACCAGACAGCTTTGCTGCTGAATTATACCAAACATTTAAAGAACTAATCCCCATGCCGCCCAGCTGCCTAAACAAGAAAACAAATAGAATTTTTTTAAAAAGTTAGACTGATACCAATTCTTCTCAAACTCCTCTGAAAAATTCAAGAGCAAGGGATACTTCCAAACTCATTCTACAAGGCCAGCATTACCCTCAAATCAAAACCAGAAAAAGACACAACCAGAAAAGAAAACTAAAGACCAATATCCCTAATGAACATAGATGTGAAAATCCTCAACAAAATACTAGAAAGCCAAATCCAACAAAACATTAAAAAGATCATTCACCATAATCCAGTGGGATTCATCCCAGGGATGCAAGGATGGTTTGACATACAGAAATCAATAAATGTGACATATATCATCAGATGAAAAAAAAAACATATCATATCAATAGATGCAGAAAAAGCATTTGATAAAACCCAACACTGATTCATAACAAAAGCACTCAACAAATTAGGTATAGAAGGAATGTACCTCAACACAATAAAGGTCACATACAACAAACTCACAGGTAATATCATACTGAATGGACAAAAATTGAAGGCCTTTCCTCTAAGATCTGGAAGAAGACAAGGATGCCCACTTTCCCCAATCTTTTTCAGCATAGTACTGGAAGTTCTAGCCAGTGCAATAAGGCAAGAGAAAGCAATAAAGGGCATCCAAATTGGAAAGGAGGAAGTCAGACCATCCCTATTTGCAGATGACATGATCATATACATAGAAAACCCTAAAGACTCCACCATACAATTACTAGAATAAATGAATTCAGTAAAGTGGCAAGATACAAAATCAACACACAAAAATCAGTAGCATTCCTTTATGCCAATAATGAAATATCTGAAGAAAGTAATTCTATTCACAATAGCTACCAAAAAAATGATATATCTAGGAGTAAATTTAACTAAGGAGGTGAAAGACCTCTACAATGAAAACTATAAAACATCGGTGAAAGAAACAGAAGAAGATACAAATGGGAAGATATCCCCTGCTCATGGGTTGGAAGAATTAATAGCATCAAAATGCCATGTTACCCAAAGCAATCTACAGATTCACTTCAATCCCTATCAAAATACCAATGACATTCTTCAAAGAAATAGAAAAAAACAATCTTAAAATTTATATGGACCCCATATAGTTAAAGCAATGTTGAACAAAAAGAAGAGTTGGAGGCATCATACTACTTGACTTCAAAATATACTATGAAGGGCCGGCCCGGTGGCGCACTGCTACAGTGTGCCGCTTGGGAGTGTGGTGGCGCTCCCGCCGAGGGTTCGGATCCCACATACAGACCGGTTCCCGCTCACTGGCTGAGCGAGGTGTGGGCGCAGCACCGAGGGTTGCAATCCCGTTGCCGGTCCCGGTCCGGTACGGGCGCGACACTGAGGGTTGCGATCCGTTGCCGGACACGAAAGAAAAAAATACTATGAAGCTATAGTACCCAAAACAGCATGGTACTGGCATCAAAACGACTGACCTGGGGCGGGGGGGGGGGGAACAAAAACAAACAAACAAAAAAAAAAACGACTGACCGATGGAATACAATAGAGAACCCAGAAATAAACTCATGCATCTGCAGCCAACTGACTTTTGACAAACATGCTGAAAATATTCACTGGGGAGAAGACAGCTTCTTCAATAAAGGCTGCCAGGAAAACTGGATATCCATATGCAAAAGATATAATCTAGACCCCTATGCCTCACCATACACAAAAAAACCAACTCAAAATGGATTAAAAACCTAAATTTAAGACTCAAAACTATGAAACTACTAGAAGAAAACATAGGGGAAATGCTACACAAAATGGGAGTGGGCAGCACTTTTTTGAACGAGGCTACAAAAGGCACAGGCAACTAAAGCAGAAATAGACAAATGGGACTACATCAAAATAAAAAGCTTCCTAACAGCAAAGGACACAATTAACAAAGTGAAGATACAACCGACAGATTGGGAGTAAGTGTTTGCAAAGTACACATCAGATAAGGGGGTGATATCCAGAATATATGAGGAACTCAAACAACTCAACAGCAGAAAATCAAGTAAACTAATTTAAAAATGGGAAAAGGACCAGAATATATACATGGCCAACAGGCAGATGAAAAAATGCTCAGCATCACTACTCATCAGGGAAATGCAAATTAAAACCACAAGATATCATCTCTCCCCAGTTAGAATGGCTATTCTCAAAAAGACAAAAAATAACAAATGGTGACGATGTGGAGAAAAGGGGACTCTCTTACATTGTTGGTGGGAATGCAAACTGTTACAGCCATTGTGGAAAACAGTATGGAGGTTCCTCAGAGATCTAAAAATTGTACTGCCTTAAGATGCCGCAATCCCACTACTGGGTATATACCCAAAGGAAATGAAATCAATATATCGAAGAGACACCTGCACTATTCACAATAGCCAAGAGATGGAATCAACCTAAATGCCCATCAATAGATGAATGGATTAAAAAACTGTGGTATATGTACACAGTGTAATACTATGCAGCCATTAAAAAAAAATGAAGACCTGTCATTTGCAGCAACATGGATAGAACTGGAGGCCACTCTGTTAAGTGAAGTAAGCCAGGCACAGAAAGACAAATGCCACATGATCTCACTCATAGGTGGAAGCTAAAATTTAAAGACCAGGAGAGGAGGGGGTTGGGGGTGAGACGAAGTGGTTGATTAATGGATACAAAACTATGCTATCTACGCTAAGTAAATCTTTGTGCAGTATAGGCAAGAATTGAAACAACACAGTATACCCCACAAATAAGTACAAATAAATGTTAAAAAGAAAAAGAACAAGTTGTCTGCAGTCAGACTAATACGAGGCCTCATAAATTTCATGAGGCCAAGTCTATCCAATACCCAAACTTCCCCCTTTCCTCTGTATTAGGGTTTCTCAATGTTGACACTACTGACATTCTGGGCTGTACAATTCTTTGCTGTGGGCTTTGTAGGATGTTTACCAGGATCTCTGGCCTCTGCCCACTGGATACCAGTAGCACCACCCTTTCTCCCTAAGTTGTGACAACGAAAAATGTCTCCAGATGTTCAAAGTCCCCTGGGGGGCAAAATCAATCTTGGTAAGAGCCACTAAGGTCCCTAAGGAGAGGCTTAAGGGGAGGGCCCTTTGGTCCCCCCATAATCTCTATCAGCACTTTCTCTGCTATCCAAGTACACACACTTTGTGCTGGCTGTACAAACACAGATTTGACATTGTCCCCCAGGCCCACTTTCCAGCAAGATTGCTGGGGCCCCTTCTAGATGGAGCCCCTGTCCTTGGGCATAACAGAGCCAAGGAGGGAGGGCTGGCCTGAGGGCCCCTCTGAACTCACATCCTACAGAAAACAACAATCCTGGACAGCAGAGAGACCCTTTATTTATGTGGCTGGCCCCCATAACCCAGCAGGAAGCATCCGGGCCCTTCTGCCTCCAGCCATTCCTCCTTCACTGTTTTGCAGGTGCATGTGTGGGGTGGGGGTAGGAGCTGTATTTAGGCCTCCATAATCTCCCTCAGCCCAGGAAAGCCACTCGATCAACACATAGCCCAAGGGAAAATAGCAGGTTTGCTATGCAAATGCAGGAGTGGGATGGCCGCATGGTCCATCTTTGAACCCAAAGCCTCTTCTAAACTAAAATCCCAGAGCTGTTGCTGCTTACAGACACTCCTCTTCCTATGCTACACTCTGGTGACTCAGCTTGACCAAGCACCCAGCTTTGGTGTCCACTCCCCAAAAATGGGAAAGGCAGTTTCTCCCTTCATCCTCCAGGACAAATCATTCCTTCAAGGCAAACTGTGAAGAAGGAGGTAACTTATTAATTCATTTAAACTAAAGAGTAAATGACAGAAAGCCCTGCTTAACTCAGGAGGATTTACTCTTTAAAATCAGAGTTTCTGTTCACTGTCAAAGGAATGAAGCATCAAAGACAGAATTGCATTAGAGAACTCAACACACTTCCAAGCCCGAAGCACTTCTGATAATACCAATCCAGGCAGTGGACACACCATAATAAGCTGCCTGTACTTCCCTCTCAGAACAATTTCAAGTCTGGAACAAAAGCTGACTCTCTCTCCCTCTCTCTCTCATACCATGTGACCAGCTCTTAGGATCCAGTAGAAAGCCAGGTTCTTGTGGGACTTGACAAAAGCAGATGTTTCAGAAGATTCCGGGTTGCTGTACAGGGCCTTCCACTTAAGCTTATTGAATTCGGGCAGTTCTGGCCATTTCAGTTTCCGCAGCCAAGCTTCCTGACCTGAGGAGAGAGGCACAGAGAAGGGCCCAGCATTAATGGCTGGGTAGAGTAGAAGAAAAAAAAAAATCTAGGTCCTATAACTTAGTGCTTTCCAAACTGTCATATGCATAAAACTCACCCAGGTTATTGTTAAAATACAGATTCTAATTTCAGTAGGCCTGGGTGGGGCCTTAGCCTCTGCAAGCTCCCAGCAATACCTAGGCGGACTGCAGGAGACCCACCGGCTGTGAAGCCTGCCTGTCACTACCTGTGATTCTCCCTCTGCCATCTGCTCTTCGGGAAGGGACGCTGTCAGGAGCAGAGAAGTCTCAGGAATGAGGAGACGGTTAGGAGGATCACCTGGGCAGTTCATGGAAGAAGTGTGGCAGCTTTCCCAAATGTTTTTAGTGCCCTGGCTTACAAATCCAAACTACTCAATCCTGCCAACTTCAAGAGGCACACTACCCCAGACCTCGTGCCTCGACTTGCCTGTCGGTTCTGAGAACCCCCCTCTGAGCCTCTACCCGGCCCTACTGAAGTCAGAAGTGAGCACGTGGTGGTGGGCGGCAGGGCAGTACTCAGGGTTCCACACGACCAATTCCCTGGGTCCTCAGGACTAGAGGATTGTTAGGGTTTAGTTTTAATCCACTTGGCAGTGCTTAACATCTACTGTGACATTGCACAAAAATGAGGTTTTCCCTCAACTAAATAGTGCATTTGTCCAATAGCCAGGAAAATGTCTTCTTTTTTAAATTTTTGCAGTGGGGGCAGGTGTTGTTCTCTTTTTTAATCATAAGTGAAGGCCTCAAAACTGGAAGGACCCAGGCTTCTCTGAGAGGTCAAGGCTGTGTGCAGCTCCCCCTCTTTGAAAAGTCAAGGTCAGGAGTGGATGGATGTAACAGGAAATGGCCTTCCTCTTGGTATTTCAATGTTACCACCACCAAGACGGATGTGTCTGAGGTCAGTTCCCTTCCAGCTCAACCCATGAAACTGCCTCCACATGTCCCTCAGAGTTGGTTCCTACCCATGGTGTCCACGATGAGATCAAGCTGTCCATTATACACAGTCACGTTGACCCCGGCATTCAGCAGTTCATCCACAATGCTGATGACTGGCTTCATGAAGTCCTTCTCCATGTTAACGAAGACGCTGGTAGCCTGGCCTGCACATAGGGAAGAAGAAAGAGGTAGCAGCTTGGAACCTGCCAGAATAAGAGGCACCTTTCAGCCCAGAGCATCTTGGGCTGCAGAACCTAAAAGTAACCACTGTGCAGCAACTAGCAAAGACTGAATGTACAGGTGCTTCGCAAGCAGGGACCAATTTGTCCCGAAATCCGTGCCCTGAGCTGGCCAGGTAGAAGGGAAGCCGATGTGGTCCATGCAATCTAGAGCTTGTGATGACAGCAGATGCTATTTTTGATGAGGAACTGAGACCTGGAGAAAGCTGTTGCCCAAGGAAACAGGGAGGCAGTGGCCCAGAAAATCCTGTTCAGACTGGAATCCTGCTCAGGGAATAAATTGTGCTTTGGGCCAGTGTTAGTTGTCCTTTTGTGCTGAGTAACACCAGGGCCACATTTCAAGTTCTGAACAAGTAGGGCTAGTTTACCATAAGCCAAATCANGTACAGGTGCTTCGCAAGCAGGGACCAATTTGTCCCGAAATCCGTGCCCTGAGCTGGCCAGGTAGAAGGGAAGCCGATGTGGTCCATGCAATCTAGAGCTTGTGATGACAGCAGATGCTATTTTTGATGAGGAACTGAGACCTGGAGAAAGCTGTTGCCCAAGGAAACAGGGAGGCAGTGGCCCAGAAAATCCTGTTCAGACTGGAATCCTGCTCAGGGAATAAATTGTGCTTTGGGCCAGTGTTAGTTGTCCTTTTGTGCTGAGTAACACCAGGGCCACATTTCAAGTTCTGAACAAGTAGGGCTAGTTTACCATAAGCCAAATCAGACCTAAACCAGTTCATTTCAGGAAAGTCAAGCAGGTAACAAGTCCCAGGCAAGAGAGGAGCTGGTCAGCACAGCATTGCTGGTGGATTTCTGATCACCAGCAGTGGCATAATACTGAACAACCACAATAACAGCAGTAGCCTTTGTGGACTTGCCAGTCACTGCGCTAAGTAAGCATTTCACAAGGGATATCCCATTTCTTCTTCATCATTACCCTAGGA